GTTTATCCACGTGTTTCTGATACTGCCTCATACAGTCCTCCCACCACCCACCATCCACCCACACACACACCCACCAACCACCCACAAACACACCCACCAAGCACCCACCTGTTCCACACGACACAGTTTATCCACGTGTTTCTGATACTGCCTCATACAGTCCTCCCACCACCCACCCACCTGTTCCACACGACACAGTTTATCCACGTGTTTCTGATACTGCCTCATACAGTCCTCCCACCACACACCAAGCACCCATCTGTTCCACACGACACAGTTTATCCACATGTTTCTGATACTGCCTCATAGAGTCCTCCCACCACCCACCCACCTGTTCCACACGACACAGTTTATCCACATGTTTCTGGTACTGCCTCATACAGTCCTCAGCTAGGTGAAAGTGCGCCGAGTACTTGCTCAGCTCCTTCTGGTACTGCGGCGCTTTCTTCAGCATCTGGCTCAGGTCGCGGATGTTGGTCTTGTCCGACGTATTCATACGCTTCGACTCGGCAAACTGCTTCAGCTTCTTCGTCACCTGTCTGAGAACACACAAGGGTTTTCCGTTTTTGGTAAGAGTTATACGGCACTTGCAGTGCAATCAGGTCAGACGGTCACAGAAGTGCAGGAGATTTGAGGTGTTACTGGTGAGTTTAGTTATAATTACAATTTTGGTTTTGTTAGTTAGCGTTGTTTTAGCAAAGGTTTTACGGCGTTCGCAACTGCATATGGTCATATGAGCGCCAAGGGGTGGATGTCAAAAGAGAAGTTTTTACAGGGAATCAGACTTACTCTGCTCACCTCTCTAGCTTCAACAGCACAAAGTCTGCTTCGACTATCAAGGCACCCCGGAAATAGCAGGTCACAAGAGAGTGACAAACATACAAAAGAAGTAGAGGATAAATTACGATAGTAAGGATTAGGAAAGAAAAAGCAGCAGTTCCCTGTTGTAGTTCAGGCATACTTATGAGCGTGACAAAGATGAATCAGCCCATGTACAATTCTACTGTGTATGAGAACATTTTAATGTCCCCCCCCTTGGGAATGGCCTAAAGACACTTCAGTCAGTAGCCCTGCCCCGAGGGGCAATTTTAGTAAGAGTTTTACGGCACCTGCAACGCAATCAGGTTAGACGGTCACAGAAGTGCAGGAGATTTGAGGTGTTGCTGGTGAGCTAAGCTATAATTGTAATTTTAGTTTTTGTTCGTAAGCATTCTACTGCACTTGCCACACAATAAGGTCATATAAATGCTGATGATTAGAGGCCTTACAAGAGAGGAACAAACACAATAAGGTCATATAAATGCTGACGATTAGAGGCCTTACAAGAGAGGTACAAACACAATAAGGTCATATAAATGCTGATGATTAGAGGCCTTACAAGAGAGGAACAAACACAAAAAGAAAAAGGAGAGATAAGGATGATAGATGTTTGATAGGAAAGAAGGAACAAACCAAACCAGAGCACCTGCAAACCACCCATTAATTTTAGTTTTCGTAAAATTGTTACAGAACTTGCTACACAATTACGTTATATAAGTGGCCAAGATTAGAGCTGTTGCCAGAGAGTATCATACAACGAGAAGAAGGAGAGAGATGGAGAGAGAAATAGAGGTATGTGAGTGGGGAGAAGAGGGGGAGAGAGAGAGAGAGAGAGAGAGAGAGAGAGAGAGAGAGAGAGAGAGAGAGAGAGAGAGAGAGAGAGAAAGAGTTGATGAAGCTTTCCCATGTACCTATACATACCATTATACCTCTAACAAATACATACTATATAATATATCTCTCTTTACGATCTATTGTTGATCAAGAGAGAGAGAGAGAGAGAGAGAGAGAGAGAGAGAGAGAGAGAGAGAGAGAGAGAGAGAGAGAGAGAGAGAGAGAGAGAGAGGTACATGTATTAGAAAAATATGGGAGGCATAGATAGATAGATAGATAGATATGGCATTTATTTATGCATGACATATATTAATATTATCATGTCCCCAGATATTGCTGTTCCCCCACTAACCATCAGCATCCACCTCGTTAATCATATCCAGCAACTCGGCTTCTGTTGGGTTCTGTCCCAAGGACCTCATCACAGTTCCGAGCTCTTTAGTGGTGATAGTGCCGTCCCCGTCCTTGTCAAAGAGGGAGAAAGCCTCTTTGAATTCTGGGGACATTTAAACGAATGAATAGAATAGTTATGAGATGTTTAGTACGTGTATGTGGAGTTTTAAAAAGAGATTTTTTTTTGGGGGGGGGATGAGGCTAGTGCTGTTGTAAGACTAAGAGAAAGTGAGGGAGGAAAGAGCCAGCGAGAGAGAGAGAGAGAGA